CCATTAGATCCCGGCCGTGAAAGCCTTCGCGAATACACAGAATAAGTGGCCTTTTTTTGGACTGCAACTGTTAAGATTTCTCTTCAACCCTACAAGGAGGGTGTGTATGTATGACGTAACATAATTATTTTTAAATGGTGAGTTATATGGATAGAGCAACTAAAAATAGCCTTGGAAGAATTGCGGGTTAGCCGTTTTAGGGATGTGACCACATGGGGAAACAGATCACAATATTTGGACCACCTGTGGACAGTCCAGTGAGATCTAAATTACATGACGTACAGGGAAATGCTCTCCAATCCGGCACTGATCTGTGCTCAAAATGGACCTTATAAGTCCAGCGCAAGGCTGCTACTTTTGGGTGCAGGGCAGAGAGACGGCTGGAGTGATTCCACAGCAGACAGAAGGGTCACTTTAAGGGAGATTGATTATCCCTGTAAAAGTTACCCTTTTTGGTATGATCAAGTGTGTGCCTTTCCAGCCATCTGATCATGCCCTGAGACGCTTTCACTCTGTTTCCTCCATGCTACCCAGAGGTAGTGGGGATGGAAGTGGGCATTTTCTGTCTTCTGTATCATGCCAGGTACTACTGGGCTATAGTCTGGTCTCAGTGGGGGCAACCCTGCAAGGCGTATCACTAGCTTCTTGCCTGGTTGTTTTATTTTTATCCTACCTTCAGAAAGCTTAGGGTGGCCTGCATGGTCTCTCTGTCACGTTCTCTGTCCTCACAATAAGGCTGCCATACAGAGAATCACGCTCTAAGACGTTTTCACTCAGTCTGTTTCCTCCATGCTACCCAGAGGTAGTGGGGATGGAAGTGCGCATTTTCTGTTTTCTGTATCTTGCCAGGTACTATTGGGCTATACAGTAGTCTGGTCTCAGTGGGGGCAACCCTGCAAGGCGTATCACTAGCTTCTTGCCTGGTTGTTTTATTTTTATTCTACCTTCAGAAAGCTTATGGTGGCCTGCATGGTCTCTCTGTCACCTCTGTCCTCACAATACGGCTGCCATACAGAGAAGGGGCAGGGTCTGTTCTTGATCATCCCAGAGGGCAGGACACTCAACAATGAGCTCAAATTAAAGGAAGCCAGATTTCAGTTGAATATCAGGAAAAACATCCTAACTGCTGGAGCAGTATGACAGTGGAACCAGTTACCTCGGGAGTTGGTGAGGGCTCCAACCCTGGAGGCATTAAAGAGAAACTTAGACAATCTCCTGGCAGATCGAAGAGAAACTTAGACAACCTCCTGGCAGATCAGCTTTGATTTATATTCCTGTGTTGAGCAGGGGGTTGGACTTGATGGCCTTGTAGGCCCCTTCCAACTTCAGTATTCTATGAGAAAAGTTCACATTTATGTAGCAAATCTGTCCAGAGGGTTTGACAAAAGAGTGCAACAGTGCAACTGTCCCTGACTGGAAATCATTCTCCTCTGGGAGCGGACAGGAAAACTTTCAGATGTTTTTGGTGATTCCCATCAGACTTATTTAGCATAAAAATAATTTGGGACTGTGGTAGTTCTCATCCAAAAAATCTTAAAGGCCATGGGATCCCTCAACCAGCTGTAGCCAGTACACCACACTGCCTTCTCCTTAAAAATGTATATATGCAAAATGGCCCAGATTTGTGGGATTATATGGATGTTTCAAGTGTCCTTGTATATCTGACTTTGTTATTTCTATCGTGGACTTTACCCTTTCACAGATCTTTAGATATTTATTAAATGTATTGAACCCACTTTGTTAAAAAAGCTAAGTTACACTTCCATATTTGGGCTGTTTATTTTTGAAAGATAAATTTTATTTACTGTAAGCTTTATTATTATTTTAAGATGCCCTGAAATTAGTGTGGATGATTAGGTTAAAACATATGGCATCCATTCTTTCGCTTATGGGAACAGGAGCCTGGACTTCATTGAACTTTGTAGGCAAGCGGATCCTAAGCTTCTCTCCTCAGAAGTAAGCGACATAACGTCCAGTGAGGCTTAGCTTATAGGAAGGTGGCAGGGTTTACATCCCGATTCCAGCCATATGTTTAATCGGGAACAAGAACCCGGGAATACTGTACAACAAAAAACCTTATTTCGGAATTAAGGCAATGAGTCACCCCCATACCTCCACATTTGACTCCACCCCTCCCAGTTTGATTGGCTAGCTGCATTTTTAAGCTATCCAATCAAAGGCAAAGACGTTAGAGGCGGGACGCCATGGTCGCGGAAATGCTCTTTAACAAAGCGTTCCTTCCTGGCGGCGTCTTGTCTTCTCTTCCATTGGTCGAACGCCGTGCATCCCTTGCATTCCTTCTGGCCTACTGTCACATTCTATAACCAATCCTCACTAAGAATCCAAGCGACTCCTGTGACGTATACACCGTAGTTTAAGTCCTACGTCTTCATTGGCTGTTTCTTCCCTTGTATCTAGATAGGCCCAGCTTCTTCTGCGTGCTGTTTGCCTTTGATAAGTCGAGGGGCTGCCGTTCAAGGAGCGGATTGGTCGATGCTTTCGGCGAGGGGCGGGGCTGAAAGGGGGCGCGAATTTAGAGAAATAGAACGGAGGTGGAGGAAGGTTCCATTGCGGGAGCAGGTGAGTGAATTCTATTTCTTCCGTGCTTCTGGCATTGTGACGTCACCCACTATTTCGTTCTAAGCGCCCTAATACTGTACCCTCTTTGTCCCAACCTTCCCCTGCCAGGCTTGTTTGACGTCATGCTCAAAGATCTCGCTTGTGTTCGTTGACGGTGACGTCACACCTCATGGACCACCTTTTGCTTGGGAAAATTTTTTCTTCCTGTATTCTGGAATTTTAACGACGCAGAAGTATGTTCGTGTGATATTGTAATATAAATGTCAAATATGTTACATTTAATATAAGATAATTTCGCTGCAGTAGGATTCTGTTAAGTAAAACTGTATCCTGCTTAAAGAGCACTTTTTGGTTTTGTATTCATAATTGACACATACAGCATTTAATAAGCCCTGGCTGATCTTAACAGTGCCATGTTATGCTTCTTTACACAGTAGTAACGCTCATTATGTTCAGTGGTTTTAAGTTTAGGTAAATCTGCCTGGAAGTGCAGATTTGTTAACTTGGTAAGATTGCTAGCTTACTAATTAACTGATTAAAAATCCATAGTGTACAGTACTTACTTTAGAAAAATGTAATTGAATTTAATGGACTTCTGATTAAACATAGGGCTGTGTTGTCATTCTGCAATCCTGTGCACGTTTACTTAGAAAGTAAGCACTATTAAGTTTAGCTGAATATATTCCTGAGTCTGCATTATGTGCAGTTTTGGATCTAGGATGGTCAACTCATTCCCCACTCTATATTACTGGACTGCCATGATTATTTACCATCGGCAGTATTCACTAAAGGCTGGTGGGAGCCCAAAGACATCTGCTGGGTCAGATATTAGACTCCCCTGTTCTATATTAATTAGGTAAGGATACGATCACCACCTGGTTTCTTAAGGCTTCTGTTAGGGCTCCAACAGGACTCACTGTTTTTACAACTTGGAAAAAACTATGGAAGACTGGAACTAATAGTAAAAAAAAAACAAAAACAAAACAGAACACAGACAATTCCAAGCTGTGTGGTAGATGCCTGCGACTTTCTGCCTAATACTGGGCAGCTGAAGTCCACCTGCCCTTTTAATTCCCTCTCGTTGCTCAGGAGTGACACTTCATTTTGGGCAGTTAAGTTGATACATGTAGTAATGTATCACTGCTGCTTCTAGGACCCAGCGATGGGGCATGTGTGTTTCTATACTGGAATTCTGTGCTTTGTCTAGAATCATCATTTGTCGTCATCTCCCGCCTAGAGTGGTCGTATAGACCAGATGGGCGGGATACAAATCAAATAAATAAAATAAATAAATCTCAGAACTGGAGAGCTGGAAGGGCCCCTATGGATCACTGAGTCCAACCTCTATTAAGGAGGCACAGTGAAGAATTGATGCTAGATGCCTAAACTACTCAACTATCTCTCCCCCCGCTGGATTTAGAGCTGGCCTTACATGCATGTATTAAGTGTTTTGGGGGTGTTATCCCTTGCAGTCTTTCACATGAGAGAATGCGTGTCTCTTTTATAAATGGCACTAGTCTGCTGCACAGTTTGTGTGTGCGTGTTGTTTTTTTTTTAAACAAATCACCTTAAAAGCAAATTAACATTTGGACAGATCTTCAGACCAATTTATAAGGTACACATATTTGGCTGATTGAGGCAGCGTGATTGGGTCTGGGCCAGGACCTTGGAGATCCAGGTTTAAATCCCTACTCATTGGAAAATCCTGAGCCAGTCATTCTCTGTCAGCTTTGTTTACTTGACAGGATTAGTCCTGGGGAAAATATGGGGAATTGAGAACAGCATGCATTTATACATGGAAAGACAGGGTGGAAATGTAATCAGCTAAATACATCAGTATGTTTTAGGTAATTTGATGAGCTATTGTTGTAGCTCTCATCAGCTGTTTGGTTTACCCATATCTATATCCCAGGGGGAATACTGTATAAGAGTTACAGACCCCAAACATCTGTCATGCCTTACATTAAGTTTTACCCATATCTATATCCCAGGGGGAATATAGGCTTACATTAAGTTCTGTAGCGTTTTTTTGTTTGTTTGTTTGTTTAAGGTTGTTTGCTGGTATTCTGTTTGGTCGGTTTGCTCAAAGCAAACTGCTTTTTGTAAAAGCATTAAAAATGTGCTGTTTGTGAATCATAACTTTATACAGTGTGTCATTCACTGGCGTTTTATGCTAAAAAATGTAACATTGGCTTTAAAAGGATGTTAGAGGAATCTCCACAGGAGCAGTCCACCAAGGACTACCTGTGAGCCACGAGGGTTATTTGGAGCCTCCATGTTATGGGACAGTCTATCTCTGACTACTTAGAGACTGAACTCAGCATCTTGTTGCAACTTTCTGCTTAAGCTAGGATACATCCTGCTTGTGGGTTTCCTTCTGGGCAAGAGAGCTTGGAAATGTGACTCTGTGGACTACAACCCCCACACTCCCCAGTTGCCATGCTGGCTGGCTGGAGGATTCCGGGGGTTCTAACCCCAAAAAAAGCACATTTCCAAACTCTACATGCAACTCACAGGGCAGGAAACCAGGTGTTAATGTGCTCCAGCTGAGCTTTGTGCTTTCCCTAAATATTACTCAAATCCCTCCCTGCTTGCTGAGCACTGAGATTTGTCCCTTATCCTTTTCCTTACTAGGCATCATGCGGCGCGGCTCACGAGGCGGTCCCACTCCTAGGAGGACTCCCTCCACACCCCCTTCACGCCGAGGCCCTGGAATATCTCCACGCCGTTCACCTCGATCTTCCCCCCGCCGTCCCCCTCAGAGACAACAACCAGCAGAAGAGGCAGGTGAGACAGAGTGTGTTCTAACTTTTTTGAGATGGGAAGGGAGGGTAAAAAGGAATAGGTGCAAAGAGGTGTGTCAGTCCTCTGTTTATTTGTTATACAGTGGTGCCTCGCATTGCAACGTTAATTCGTTCCAGCGAAATCGCTGTTGAACGAAAACGTCGCAATGCGAAATAAAAAAGCCCATAGAAACGCATTAAAACGCAATTAATGCGTTCCTAGGGGTTTCAAACTCACCATTCAGCGAAGATCCTCCATAGTGCGGCCATTTTCGCTGCCTGTCAAGCGAGGAAAATACCCCATAGGGAACTTCGTAAAGTGATCGCAAAAAGTTCATCGCAAAGCGATTTTGTCGCTAAACGGAGCGCTCGCTAAGTGAGGCACCATTGTATTTGTATGGAGGGATTTTTCATTGTAGTCATCCTCACCACTTTATCCTCACAGCCCTGAGCGACTGGATAGGTCACCCAGTAAGTTTCATGAGTTAAGAATAATAATGATGTTCCGTCAAGTCAGTTCTGACTAATGGCGACCCTTTTGGGGGGTTTCCAGGTAGAGAATACTCAGAAATGGTTTATCACTGCCTTCTTCTTGGGGGGGCACCCTGGGAGGGTGCAGCTCACCCAAGGCCACACCAGCTGGCTCTGTTCACAAGGGGCCTAGTGGGGAATCGAACTGCCAACCTTTGGCTTCACAGAGGTTGGCAGTTTGATTCACAGCCAGTGACCTAAACCCCTGAGCTATCCAGCCTTATATATCCGGAAATCATGTGCCATCAAGTAAAACCAAATTTATGGCAACCCTTTTCAGAATGTCCTATGTAGAGAGTGGGGAATCGAACTGTCAACCTCTGGCTTCACAGTTCAATTCACAGCCGCTGATCTAACCCCCTGAGCTATCCAGCCAGCCTTATGTATCCGGTAATCATGTGCCATCAAGTAAAATCTGACTTATGGCAACCCTTTTCAGAATTTCCTATGTAGAAAATACTCAGAAGTGTTTTACTGTTCCCTTCTTCTGGGGGCACCCCGGGACTAGGCAGCTTGCCCAAGGCTATCCAGGCTGGCTCTTCTTGCCGGAGGCACCGTGAGGAATAGAACTCTCAGCCCCTGGCTCCACAGCCAGATACCCAACTCACTGAGCTATCCAGCCAGCCATGACTTAGTCTTTCCTCTTAAGTCTGACTGTGACTTGAACTGCTACACCACCCTCTTTCATCATAGACCCCTTTCATCATAGCAAAAAAACCCACCTTCTCTTAATGCAGTGGTCCCCAGCCTGGGGCCTCCAGATATTCTTGGACTTCAACTCCCAGAAATCCTGGCCAGCAGAGGTGGTGGTGAAGGCTTCTGGGAGTTGTAGTCCAAGAACATCTGGAGACCCCAATTTTGGGGACCACTGTCTTAATGTGACGCTTACAACAGGCCTGATCGTTTTTCTGAAGTTGTTGGGCATTGGCTGGGAACAAGCATTCAAAACAGATATAAAAGAACTAAAATGTGCCTTTTTACCCAGTAACTATTATGATGATGTGCGACTCATGCAGAGTAAAGCCTTCAGAGCTGACATGTTAATAGAAGGCTAAACAAACCGCCGGAGACCTCACTTTGGCCTTGGAACTTCTGCAATGTTTGATTAAAAGAGATCCTTGCAGTTGGCAGTGGTTGTATCCCCAGGAACTATTATGATGATGTGCGACTCATGCAGAGTAAAGCCTTCAGAGTTGACATGTTAACAGAAGGCTAAACAAACCGCCGGAGACCTCACATTGGCCTTGGAACTTCTGCAATGTTTGATTAAAAGAGACCCTTGCAGTTGGCAGCGGTTATATCCACATTTTAGTTTCATGTAGAATAAACCTAAATACGGGCAAGGAGCAGAGAAAGCTGGCCAAAGGACCATTTCCCTTGCTGATCGCCATCGTGCTTCTTGACAGGGTTTGCTTCCAAGTTTGGATACTTGTAACTTTAGCCAAATTACCTTGGGCTCAGTGGGGTGCACAATGTGGGACTAATTAGAAGTAGAGTTTTTGGCTCCGATGAAATTTCAGTGTCCAAGGAACTAGGTAGAGAGTTTTTTCCCCCTAGATCAAATCAAGCCTGAACAATCTCTGGAGGCAGAAATGTTGAAAGCTGAGGCTGCCATCCTTTGGGCACATCCTGAGGAGGCAGGATTCTCTGGAAAAGACTATTATGCTGAGAAAGGTGGAGGGCAGCGGGAGAAGAGGGAGACCAAACACAAGATGGATCGACTTCCTAAAGGAACCCACAAATTTGAGTTTACAAGAGCTGGGCAGGGCAGTTGAGGACAGGTCCTTTTGGAGATGGCTTGCTCGTAGGGTTGCCATAAAGCGCCTTAGGTCCCCTTATTGGGAGAAAGGCACAGCTAGAAAATAAACAAGCCAAGGAGCCAATAAATAAGTCGGAGGTGACTTAATTGCTGTGTTTGAATGTGAGCTTTTCTGGACACGTCCACTTCTTCAGGCTATTCACACTGCCCTTTCTTTTCTCTCTCTCTCTCTGTAACTTAGGAAAAAGATCCTTCTTTCCTTTACTCTTCTTATCTCTTTGAAGCCTCTTCCAAATGATCTGTTCCTTTCCCAAAACGTGAGTCCCCTTTCCGTCCCTTGACTCCTCCTAATCCCTTTTTTCTCTCCATGCAGGGCACCGGCGGCGGCGAAGGTACCGACCTGGCCAACGGGCATTGCTGGAAATCCGAAAATACCAGAAAAGCACCCAACTCCTCATCCAGAAGTTGCCATTTGCCCGTGTGGTGAGTCGTGCTGACAGTTGGCGTTGTGCTGGTATCACGCTGCCTCCAGTCCTGCTTCTGGCATCTCTTTCTTTGTATATGGCTTGCGTGGGTCGCTAGCCACATTTCTCCAGCATCACATTGCTACCTTCCAGCATCTACGGAGGCCATCTCAGTCTCTCTAATAGTGGGGCCGGCCCTCACCTGGTGTGTGTTTTTAAAGCAAGGTCTTTTTTACCTGCATAGAATAAACCTATCTGTAGGCAGTGTGATGCGTACACTGCTTTCTGGCCAAAGTTTTAGTGATTAGGAATTAGTTTCCTTTTTCTTTCCTGGGGTTTGTAAGCCTCCCAATTTGGCATTACAGTGGTGCCTCGCATTACGATGTTAATTCATTCCAGCGAAATCGCTGTAGAACGGAAACGTCGTAAAGCGATATTAAAAAGCCCATAGAAACGCATTAAAACCCGGTTAATGCGTTCCGATGGGCTGGAAACTCACTGTCCAGCGAAGATCCTCCATAGGGGCGGCCATTTTCGGTGGCTGTCTTGCGAGGAATCCATCCGAAAACACAGCGGGAAGCCATTTTATTTACCCAGCGGCCATTCTGAAACCACCAATCAGCTGTTTTAAAATCATCAGTTTGCGAAGATCAGTTCCCGAAGCAGGGAACCGATCATCGCAAAGCGAAATTCCCCCATAGGAAACATCGTTTTGCGATCGCAAAACATCGATGTCAAGCAATTTCGTCGTCAAACGGAGCGCTCGTCTTGCGAGGCACCACTGTATTTGTGTCTGAAGCTGTCATTTAATACTAAAATATTTCACATTTTATGAAATGTTTGTAAATTTTATAGAACTGATAAACTGTATGTAAAATTGCTGTTTGGATAAAAATCACATTAATTTGAATCACGATTTAAATTAAAAATAAATGGATTTTAAAAATTGAAAAAGTAAGAAAATCAGATTCTTAAAAATTTAAATTGTGATTTAAATCAATTTTGATTTTTTTTAAAAAAAAATCATTGATATTTAGTCAAATTATTGCTATTTAATAAAATCCACCCTGTTTGGAAGTACTATATTCTTATAGAGGTGATTTGTACTGTTGATACATTTCTGGATTATTTTTTTTGTATTACAACTTTTGCATTGTATGGGTTGTGTAGATTGAAACTGTGTCTTCTAAAGCTATAGGCACTCTTAGGTCCGGTCCCTATGTGAAAAAGTTCTCTTCTCCATCAGAGGCTTGGGATGGTTGTACTGAGGCAAGCATATGTGAAGGGATCCCTTTCTTCTATCCCACGGTTAATTTTGAACATATTCTTAGGGCTGTCCTATAAGCCCCTGGGATCCTGGCCCAGCCTCAACCAGTAGAGTTAGTCAAACTCTTTTTGGCTCATGGGCCGAGTTCCAATGTGGGCATGGTCTCAAAGACCACATTTTCGCAGTGGAGGAATCTAAAAGATTACCAGTTTTGGATCACAAATTCCAGAATCCCCCAGCAGTCATGCTGTCCAGGGCATTTTGGGAGTTGTAGTCCAAAATGATAATCTTTCCCATCCTTGAAGTGAAATGTTGCTGTTTGTCCACATGGTGATGCTCTTTACCTCAGCTTGAAACCGCAGGGTTTCTGCCTTTAATCCATATTTGTCAAATGAAACTGAAATGTATAATGATTTTTTTTAGTATGTTGCTGAACAACTGACGTTTTAGACCTTTAACCTAAATTTTTCTTTGTTATAGTTCTAGACTCTTTCCTCCCTGCTTGGGCATCCGTGGGTAGATTGAAAAGTTGTGATCAGGATGGATTTGATTTAAACCACAATTTAAATAAATAATTGGATTTCTCACAATTTTAATTACAAAAAGATTAAAAATTTTAAAATCTGTTTTTTAGTTTAAATTGTGATTTAAATCAATTTTATTTTTTAAAAAAACATAGATTTTTATCCACTTTAGCTGTGATCCTTGTTTTGTTTTGTTGTTCTTGTCTGTCTCAATTGATGTGTTATGGCTTTAAGAAATAATGGTCACAGATTATCACAATCTCTGGGAAGTATTTGGATCCTATGTGCAGCTCTGTCCTCAAAGTCTGAGTGATTCTGGACAGGAATCACCTCAAAATACAAAATTTTACATAGCTATTTTTAACTTGCTTTTTCTTCTGTTGAAGGAGAGGATTTATACTGTATAGCTCTCTAAAAGGCTCGGTGCAGTATTGATCCACACATGAAATTCAGTTTTACTCTTGTAAAAGAGTAAAGACTCTCCCTGTGAGACCACCCTTAGATAGTTCTCAGCTCTTGTAAAAACTGGCCTTCACGAGGCAGAATGAGGCAGTAGCCAAAGCTGGGGAATGGTGTATTCCAGAGTTTTGAATTTCTGGTTGAATTCCTTTAGCTGCATAGTAGAAAGACAGAGTTTCACAGAGGAGAATAGCTTCAGGTTGCCTAGACTAGTGATCCCCAACCTTGGGCCTCCAGATGTTCTTGGACTACAACTCCCAGAAGCCTTCACCACCACCTCTGCTGGCCAGGATTTCTGGGAGCTGAAATCCAAGAACATCTGGAGGCCCAAGGTTGGGGACCACTGGCCTAGACCACTGGTTCTTAACCTTGGGTTACTCAGGAATTTAGGACTGCAACTCCCAGAAACATTCACCACCAGCTGTCCTGACTGGGGTTTCTGGGAGTTGCAGATCAAAAGCATCCAAGTAACAAAGGTTAAGAACCACTGGCCTAGACAGTCCACCCTTTTCTTATTTACTGGCACTTAAAAGTCTTGGTAACTCACTCTGAGACATTTCTAGGAGAAAGAATAAAAAACATTTCTTTACTTATACAGTGGTGTCTCGCTAGACAGTTACCCCACATGACAGTTTTTTCGCTAGACATTGACTTTTTGCAGTCACTATAGCGATTCGCAAAACACTGATTCCTATGGGGGAATTTCGCTGGACAATGTTTGGTCCCTGCTTCACAAACCGATTTTTGCTAGATGACGATTTGCTTTTCGCTAGACGATGGTTTCACTAAACAGCGATTTCAGTGGAACGGATTATCATCGTCTAGTGAGGCACCCCTGTAGTTATAAACTAAAAAATATACTGCTTCCAACAGACTAAAGAGAGGGAAAGGAAACACACAGCAGAGAGGCGGGACTCTATTTAAATTCAGAGGAGGGGAAGATACGATTGGTTAGCGATGGATAGATTGAGAGTCACCCCAGCATAGACAGGTCCCTCCCAGCAAATTCTACTAAAGGCAGCATGTGAGATTGCCAAAATCCCAACCTTGGGATGGTAATATATATTCAGAAGGCCGTGTGCCACATGGACTGGTCGGTTCCCCCATTCAGAGAAAGACAGAGAAAGGAGAAACCAGATGAGTATCTAATTTTGTGGCTGTTTTAAAGACCAGAAATGTCACAGTTGCTTTGTGTTCAGAAGACAATATGCAGGCAGGGAAAAGGGGAGAGGGGTTGATATACTGCTGGGGACTTGCCTTGAATATTTTTAAACAATGTTTATGTAACAGCTGATTCATTAGGCAGTTCAAGGGCAGCTGTGCCATGAAAAAAACGTGATAAATGGTCCAGCCTCGAGGTTTCAAATCTTAGTTGGGACACTTTTAAAAAACAAAACAAAAAGCAATCAGAGAAACTGTGTTTGTGAGTGTGCCTGTATGTCTTTCTTTGGCTACCTCTGATCACTTTGTACTATTTTAACATGATAAACACTCTTTTAACGGCTGCAACCCTGTAGTAATGGATGTGGAAATTAGCTTCATTTAAAGCAGTGGGACTCTCTTCTGAACATTGCACTGTATATTTGCAAGTCTGTACGTCCTTACCTGGGTGTGAGTTCCACTCATCTCAGTGCACTTTACCTGTGAATAGTCACATATATTTGGCGGTGTGTGGAAAAAGATGGCCTTCCATATGCTGTTGGACTGTAACGTCCGTCCATCCAGCCTGCAGAATCAATGGAGATGATGGCTGAGCGGGATGATAGTCCTTGGGCTGGGCTCTGGATCTCCTGAGGTCCATAGGTGGTGCTCTGCTCTTCCCTAGGTCATACCTCCCCCCCCTTCCCCATGAGACCACTCTTAAATAGTTTCCCAACTTTTGTAAGTCTTTCTCTCCATTCTAAATAGTTGAGATGCCTCTTCTGGGACAGCAATACTAGCAATATGAGAATTAAGCTAAAATAGCTGCTACAGTGGTGCCTCACTTAACGATTGCTTTGTTAAATGATGAAACCGCTATATGATGACTGTTTTGCAATCGCAAAACAATGTTTTAATAGGCAAAATCCGCTTTGCGATGATCGGTTCCCTGCTTCGCATTACAATGATTTTTAAAACAGCTGATCGGCGGCTTCAAAATAGCCGCCCACTGTGTAAAATGGCTTCCCGCTGTGTTTTTGGATGGATTCCTTGCTATACAGGCACCGCAAATGGCTGCCCCTATGGAGGATCTTCGCTGGACAGTGAGTTTTCAGCCCATTGGAACTCATTGAACGGGTTTTCAATGCATTTGAATTGGATTTTTGATTTCGCTCTACAGTGATTTCGCTGGAATGGATTATCCTCGTTAAGCGAGGCACCACTGTATTTGAAAACTTGCTCTTTCCCTTTTGGGCTCATGAACTGCTGGATAGCTCAGTGGTTTTCCCCCAGAGGTTGGGGGGTTCAATTCCCCCACTGGGCCTCCTTGACAGAGGCTGGACATGACCCATAGATTCCCTACCCGCTTGGCAGTTCTAAGAGGAGGAGGAAAATCCACTCCTCCCTGGGGTGTGTGGACCACGGAGAATTTTTCTGAAATGGCCCTTGGGCCTTGAGCTGACCTGTATGGTTTCATGGCATGGGCTGTTGTAAAGATTGAGAGCGAAAGGGTTGCTTTGCGAGCTTTTCTAGTGTGGCCCAAAGCCTTGTGATCTTTGTCTCCCCGCTCTGCAGGTGCGAGAAATCTGCTTGGAGTTTACCCGCGGGGTCGACATGCAATGGCAGGCCATGGCGTTGCTTGCTTTGCAGGAGGTAAGTCTTGGGGATGTGGAGGTGAAGAGACTAAGGCTGGGAGGGAAATCGACCTGAGATGGACCGTTAAGAGACAAAGTGAAAAAAAATGATTTGTTTGAAATGGGGTGATGGAGAAGAGCTTTGTTGGTGCCCTGGACTGCCAGAATGGCAATCAAGGGGGTCCTAGATCAAATCAAGCCTGAATGATCTCTGGAGGCAAAAGGAAAGGTTGAAGCTGAGGCTGCCCTACTTTGGGGACAGCCGTGAGAAAGCAGGTTTCTCTGGAAAAGACAATCCTGCTGGGAAAAGGGGGAAGGCAGCAGGAAAAGAGGAAGACCAAATACAAGATGGATTGACTCCCTAAATGAAGCCACAAGAGTCTGCAGGAACTGAGCAAAGCTATGGAGGACAGGATATTTTGGAGATCGATCATTCATAGGGTTGCTGTAAATCAGAGGTGACTTCACAGCACATAACAACAACAAGAAGACTTGAATTCAGATCCCTGTTCAGGTCATAGTGTGGAGGAGATTCCTCCTCATTGTAACTCAGCTGTTTCCCAGAATACATTTAATTAGCTATACTAAAGATATAAGAAAGCCTATTGGCTGTTTTAATACATTTATATAATTGCTAAATTCTAACACTTATGGTTATGTCTCAAGAGTTTAAAGCAGTCTCTGGGTGGTTTACAATTTAATTATGCGGAGTACACATTGCCCCCCCAACCCCAGCAAGCTCAATATTCAATTTACCAACCTCAGAAGGATAGAAGGCTGAGTCAACCTTGAGCCGGCTACCGGGGCTTATCAGGACCAAAATCAGGTTGTGAGCAGACTTTTGACTTCAGTACTGCAGTTTAATCATTGCACCACAAGACTTTATCGGTACCAACTGCAGTTTAATCACTGCACCACAAGACTTTATTGGTACCGGCATCCGAATTTTGACACTTTATTCCATTAGTGCTCTTTTAAGCACAAGGCCCACAAGGTCTATTTGTGTTATTTTTTTTTAAGGAAATAGACTAGTCTTTGGTTCTGTCTTTTGCTACAAGGTTATTTGTAATTTTTTCGTAGCATTTTATCACATATTTACAATTTTAGGTGTTTGTAGTTCATTATTTTAACTCTATATTTATCTAGGTGGTTAGTCACCCTGAGCACTTCATGAGGAATAATACATAATAAGATCTTTTTTCCCCCTGTAAGTTGACCGTGGTGTCCTTTCTTCCCTCCCTCTTTTCCTCTCATCCTTTTCTTAAGGCTGCTGAAGCTTTTCTCGTGCACTTGATGGAGGATGCTTACCTCTGTGCCATCCATGCCAAGCGGGTCACCCTCTACCCCAAGGACATACAGTTGGCTCGGCGGATCCGTGGCATCCACGAAGGCTTGGGCTAAGTGCCCGTCTCCCTGTCTCTCTGAGCTGCAGGCATTATTATTCTCCGGGGCAGGAAAAAGCTCCAGAGAGCATGTCAAATCAACCACCTTTGTGGTGCAGGAGTTCCTAATTGTGGCCGAAAACTGGGTGCGAGGACAGCGCAAGCTGGTTGGTTTCCTCCTGGATGGAACTCTTGAGGACGTTTAAAGCCTTGGTGTTTCATTTCCCCCCATTTTAAACTGAGTCAATTCTGCATTTATTTGAGGATTGGGTAGGGTCACCCTCCCAACCACGTCAAGTATTTTTAAAGCCCTTTTGCTTCTCTTACATATGATTTTGAACCAAAAGGACTAAACCATGGCATACACTTCCAGTGAAGGGATAGTATTTATACTTTTTAAAATTGAAGTTTTGTTTTTTTTAAATAACTGTAATTCTTTAAGGTGATATTTTATACCGACTGCTCCTGTTGCCTTCAGATAAGTCTAGTCACAGTGCCTCAGACGGAGCATCCCCACCCTGTTTTTAACAGGTATCTTTCAAGGCCCGTGTCCAGTCTGTTTGCTGTTATTGCTGCTTTTATCTGCTGTTAACCCCAGCTGCCTCCATGATTCCTTGCCATCTCGTCCTGAAATTTCATTTTAAAAATGAGATTCTAATAGGGGGAGAAATGGGGGGGGGGAGAGAGAAACCTCCAACCAGAGGAAAGGAAAGTGACCTTGCTTCATGCTTAATCCTGACTGAAATATGTTGAGTAAAAATCCTCAGAAACTGAGTGTTTGTGTGTGTAAGAGATGAGTCTCTGTGGCCCTTAAATTAAAGCACCCTCTATAGACTCTTTTGTAAGCGAAAGGTAAACTTTGAGAAGTTGTGAGGAGAAAGAGGTTTGGAGCAGGCCGGCAGTTCAAGAACATTTTCGGTCTGCGTTTGTTTTTAAATACCGAACATTGTCCATCAAAATGAAATAAAGTGGGTTTGAATATTTCTGTGTCTCGTCTTTATTTATTTAGTTAATTAGGTAACTTCTACCCATCTAGTGGCAAACTACTACTCTGGGCAGCTACAAAATAAAGGTTCACAATAAAATAATAATAAAAAACAAAGCCCCCCTGAAAACCCAACTATTTATGAAAAACCACCTAATTCCCAAGATGGTGAGAATAGGAGCAACACTCTCTTCTCTGTTGCTGCTTCTAGACTCTGCAACTCCCCTATTAGGTAACTTCTACCCATCTAGTGGCAAACTACTACTCTGGGCAGCTACAAAATAAAGGTTCACAATAAAATAATAATAAAAAACAAAGCCCCCCTGAAAACCCAACTATTTATGAAAAACCACCTAATTCCCAAGATGGTGAGAATAGGAGCAACACTCTCTTCTCTGTTGCTGCTTCTAGACTCTGCAACTCCCCTCCACTAGGGCTGTTGCTGCTTCTAGACTCTGGAACTCCCCCCCACTAGGGGCCAGCCTGGCCCCATCTTTGCTGTCCTCCAAGCTGGCAACAACCTTTCTCCTCAGGCAAGCTTTCCCTTAGTAACTGTAACTGATGGTCTGAGAACCCATCTTTGCTGTCCTCCAAGCTGGCAACGACCTTTCTCCTCAAGCAGGCTTTCCCTTAGTAATTGTAACTGATGGTCTGAAAGAGTTTTTTTAAATGGACTGTTGTCCTCTGTTGTTTTAAATGTGTTTTACTGTTGATTTTACTTCCCTTTTTAAATATATTTGTTTAATTCTTAAACTTGTAAATATTGTATACTTCCTGTTTTAGCTTTTAAATGTTGTCTTTTTAATGATGCAAGCCGCCTTGGGTCCTTTTTAAGGGGGGGGGAAGGCAGGAGTTAAAATATCTTATTTTTTAAATTAAAGCTATTAAATGAACAGCCATCAATGAATAATAAACCATACACGTAGTGCTGTCACATATTTGCAAAATAATTAAATAAAAAAAGGAGTAAGACTTTCAAAGAAAGGTCTAGGTGAAAAGCCAAGTTTTGATTTGCTTCCCAAGGCCAAGGAAAGGTCGCTGTTTCCTTGGTGTTCCTGGCTTTTGGTCTGGAGACCGTATGTTCCTGAACCCAGAGCGCTATGGGGTTGGGGACTTAAAAAAACTGGCACGTTCAGCAGTAAGCAGTATATTCTGGTAGCAGAGGAAGCCTGGGCAGGATGTCTAGGAGAATACACACCACCAGGCATAGTCCCGAAAGATGGTCAAGTTATTTTGGCACCTCTGAGGCAGATTAAAAAAAACTAGAGTCTTTCTCCCTCTCCTCACAGGAAAAATATATACTACAGTAAACTAAATAAGTAACAATATTCTGCCCATTCACAACACCTTGAAAATCTGCCTGAGGGATTTATTCAGGGCCTTGGATTATGAGGGCTCTGTAAATTCAAAATGAGCCAACTGCATTAGCATGATTAATAATCTTCAGGTCTTTCAAGATGTCTTCATTTGTGCCAGGTATCACGCTAATAACAAACTCCTGTGTGAAGTACTTGACAGGATTGGTGTCCAAACTGAGAGAAAAGGAGGTGCCACAGCATGTATCAAAGAATCCGGTTTTCAGAAATATATTTTTTCCCTTTTAAATATGAAAATTAAGTCCTTTTTTTACTGCAGTGGGTGGGAGAGCATAACCAGAAATGATATTAGGCTGCTTACAGGTACAATGAAAAGCTGTATAGAAGTTTAACACAAGGAACGGAGAGAAATTATGGATGTCTTGTTCAGGAATCCACTTCCTCAGGCTTTAATCACATCCCCTTCCTGGATGGTCCAGAAATTGATATTACGTATCTGGGAGAGACGATCCATTCTTGGGAGGCTGAACCTCACAAACGACAGGTCGACCACCAGCAAGAGCCAATATTTTATACTGACTGGAGTGCTGGACTTGAAACTCAGGAGAACAAGTTTCTAGTCCTCGCTGGCCCGTTGTGGATCCCTCGCTCAGCCTCACCTTCACGAAATGGTTTGTGAAGAGGAGGAGAGCCGGGCCACCTTGAGATCATTGGAGAAATGTACACAAATCTAACTAATAAGAATGATACCGCTAAGCGAAACCTCGACATTCGGAAACGCTACGCAGTGCTTCTGCTTGCCAGGATCTATGGGAGCATCCGGGGACATCGAGGTAGCCTCTGTCAGAAACTGGGCACTGGGACGGGTAGACGTTTTGGCCTGGTTCCCATTCAGGGTGGCCCTCCGAGTGTGTTTGTGGTACCCCAGCCAACCGACCTCAGAGAGAACCAGTTTTCATGTAGCCACTGCAGCATCAAAGAATCAGCAAATCTCGTTGGCGAGAGACATGGCATGCTTTTAAGTGCAACGTCCCACTTGCTGGGGGTCAGGGGTGGGGGGACATCACCTGCCTTTCCTTGGAAGACAACCACCCTGTGAATGCCTCTTCTCCCTACCATTTTCGTTGTCTCCGTTTTGTTTTTAGAAGCAGAAAAAAATAAAACACATCTCTAAATTGATTCACGCCATCCTGACCTTCGCAAGCCTGCTGCCTTGACATCTCTAGGTTAGCCATTTAGCAGTTTGAGGATATATATATATTTAAATGATAAAAATTTCTGATGACCTTTTTCTTTGGGTGGGTGAGTGGGGGGGCAATATTTTTAAACCTGTCACTGAGTCAAGGATGTAGACTGACCATGTGCCTTCACTTGACATTCCCATGTTGGGGAAGGGGTGGGTACTTAGTGGGTGGGGGGTCTCCTGCCTGGTTACAGAAAGAAGCTCTGCCCCATATGTGGGGACAGAGATGTCCTCCCATCTGCAACGGAAGCCAGCAGGTAGTCCATATAAAGTGGGAAAAAGTCCCTCTCTTCCTCTCTCGGCCCCACTGGAAGTTGGCTGCTGGTAGACTTGTCTCTATCAGGAGGTGCCATTTTGCACCCGCTTGAGCCATGCTCACAGCTACTCTCATCGTTTTGGCTCTTCTGGCTACAGCCCTGTGGGTCTGGCGGCATGGGGGGCTCCACCTGGCGAAGGGTTCGGGGGAACTGCCTGGCCCTCCGGCCCTGCCCTTTGTCGGAAACCTCATTCACATGTTTCATCCTGATCTTCCCGTTCATTTCTTGGAGCTCGCCCGACGCTATGGACCCATCTATCGCCTCCGCCTTGGAAATAAAGGTGAAGCTAAACATGGTACAGGTGGCAGAAGTGGGGTTCGGGTGAGAGGGATGGTCATTCCAGACCCCGGGTTGGTCAAGACTGACTCATTCATCAGGGTTTTCGTTCTTGGGTTTTATTATTTAATTTTACCGCTGCCTTCTCCCTCTGTGTTTTTTTTAAGTTTCAAGAGTTTATTTTACCTGCATGCTTGCTCTTCCTCCCTTTTTATTTATTTATTTATTTTTAATTTATTCCACTGCGGTGCTTTTGAGTAGCATTTTCCATGTCTTTTTGAAGCAATGCTGGAAAATTTTTAAACAAATTGAAACAACAGACACTGGGAGTTCTTTGTCAATTTCTGTGTAGTATGCTTGAGAGAAAGTCTCTTTATTCGTATCAGAGCACTGCACATCTTAAAATTATGGACGTACATGAAATATAGGTAAAATTAAAACAAGCTGAAAAAAATTGTTAAGAATTAGACTTAAATTAGACTATTTTTGATGGGAACTGCTCAGAGTAGTGCTTTGCTCTAATGGAGCAGTATACAAATCCATCCATCCATTAATTGTTCAGTCAATTAATTAATTAATCAAACAAACAAGTGGGTTACTTCAAGAACGTTATCTTGGCCATTGGCTAAGTCCTCTTTTGCTCATGTGGTGTGGTATAAATTGCATGCAGGTAAGTGCTGCATGGATTGAATCTCTACAGTCACAGAAAATTTGTCCTGTACTCAAGTACTGTAGCTCCATTTGACTTGGATAATCTTTGATATTCCCACTTCACTATGAAATCTGTTACGTGATTTCCAGATGGACCAGCTAGATAGTCTTGGTGAGAGACATTCTGCATTCCTTCATTCGACAAGCGTCCAGTTTTTGCTCTCCATAGCCTCTTCTGGTTTCAGATGGAAAGCATGAGATGGGTTGAGACTGGTTTCCTTCGCAACCGATGTCTGTGGTGAAACCCTCTATTCAGAAGCTTTCAATGAGTACTACTTGTCGTTATAGTTTATTTTAAAAAGCTCTAGCAGAGCAGCTTCAGCAGCGAATTGACTTTCTTAAACATTTCTTAAAGGGAAGATAGTGGATTTTTTTTTGAAGTTTGGATGCAAATCCTAATAAATCTGAGACTTTTGTCACAGAGAGATGATGTGAGTTTGTGGACAAACGGTTTGCTAGGAAGAGCCTAGTCCATGGGAACAATGATGTTATGTCATTTATTTATATATTTATCTAAAATACGAATTGATTGTTTTTCTGCTTACTGGAAATGCAAAAGAAGACAAAGCACACAAAAATATTTTTAAACAGGTTTTTAAAAAATTAAAAAAAATCTTTTTGAAAACCATACTTAAACTTCAGGGAATTCCCAAAGTGATGTAATAGAGTGATGGGCTAGGATTCTGGAGAACAGGGTTCGAATCCCCAGTTGGTCATGGAAACTCACGGGGGGGGGGGTGAGGACTGGTAAAACCACTCCTTAAATATCTCACCTTGACAGCCTTGTTAGGGTCACTATAGGTGGGTTTCAACTTGTCAGCACAGAACACACACACAACAAGAGATTAAAAACAATTCCAAATGCCAACCTCAAAAACCAAGTTTTAAAGACTAGAAGTGAGGTGTGCCAGTACTGTTCTTCATTTGGTTCCATTCACAACATAGTGTATTGATGTATATACTGTATTTCAAGTAACTATTGCTTTTCTCCTGAGTAGAACTCCAAAAGACAGTAAAGCGCAGAAAAGCCACAGCCTTGAGTTTGGAAGCTTAGATGTTTAGAAGAGCTGAGTACAGTTGTTAATGACAGGATATGTTAGAGGTCACGCATTCACATGTGTGTCTATGTGCTGTCAAAACCTGAACCAGCTTGTAGAGACCCTAAGGGAGATATTGAGAGCTATTTAAGGAAGTGGTTTTACCAGTTCCATGCTCCCAATTAGTTTCCCTGGCGTAGCTTTAGTCTGTCGCTTTATCCACTACACACCACACCTACCTCCCACATTCACTGATATAACAATAATAAGGGATCGCTTAGCTGCTGGAAGGTTATTCCGTTACTCTAGTTAGTGCTGTATGTTTACCCAACCCTATAGAGTAGTGGAATATGCAACAGGGCTCTCAAATTTTGGAAGGGGTCATACAATCGTTTTCCTTCCTTATTGGGAAAAGGCACTAAATACCTGTCATGTTTGTCTCTTAGCCGAGTGTATACACTCCCAACAGAGGTCCACCTTAATTTTATCTTTAAAAAAAGACAGAAGTATAGAACTACGCCCAGTCTGAGTCAAGAAATGTTCTAGTGCTATTTCTGTGATAGCTACAACTCGATTTTCATTTTCCACCTTCTCTCTCTCTCTCTCTCTGCTAGATGTGGTTGTCTTGAACAGCTCGGAAGCCATTCGTGAGGCACTCATGCGGAAATGGTCTGACTTTGCCGGCCGGCCCCCCAGCTTTATCGGTACTATTGCCCTGGTTAAATGTGAAATCTAAATTATAAAAACTGAAGTTAAATGGAAAGAAGATTCAATATACGACAGATAATCTCTATGCTGATTTCTTAATTTGAGGCAATTCACCTCTACAAGTTTCACTTTCTATGTTATGTTAGTGTCACTATGCAAGTGGATGTTGGCCATGAGTTCACACATCACAATGAACCCTGGTTTGTGTTAAATACGGTTTGCTGCATACAATACAAACCAGAATTTGTAAATCAAGTAACACAATGAATGGCCAAATAAATCTTGGCTTGTGTTCATCATTTCTCTGTCTCTCTCTCAGAGTCTGTTTTATCAGCAGTTATTTCAAGACAGGCATCCAGGTAACCCAGAATGGAAGAAGCCATTGTGATGGACTGACACATCAAAAAAGAACAACAAACAAACCATGGTTTAAACAAACCAGAGTTTGTTTAAAACTCAGTAAAGTATTCATTCAGACTGTGGTTGGTTGTTGATTGGCACAACATGGCTTATTAACAGAGATGAGCTTTCATGTCACAGATTTCAACAAGCCATATAATGTCACAGTGAGTGACTACAATTCAAACTTAACATAGTCACTTAAAACATGGTTTGACACTCCAGTTTGTTGAATGATCAAAATACAGTGGGGTCTTGACTTGAGAACTTAATCCGTATTGGAAGGCGGTTCTCAAGTCAAAAAGTTCTCAGGTCAAATCTGCATTTCCCATAGGAATGCATTGAAAACCATTTGATCCGTATCTGCTCTCTTCCGTCCATAGAAACTAATGGGAAGCTGCTATTCCGCCTTCGACCACTAGAGGGGGATATTTTGTTTCTTTTTTTCTTAGGTCAAGAAAGGTTCAGGGAAGGCATGGAAAACACAGTCCAGGCAGGACAGTACCAGGCACTCCGAAGACTGTCTCCCAATCCACTCTCTAAACGCTGGGAGGAGAGAGGAAGCAGACAGGCACCCTTTTCACTGGCCAACAGTTAACTGAAAGTTCACATTTTGCACTTTCCCTGCCTCCCACGTGGTTTTTTTTAGTTCTTAACTCAAATCTAAGTATGTAAGTCAAGTCAATATTTTCCTATGAGAGGGGTTCTTAAGTCAAAATGTTCTTAACTCGAGCCGTTCTTAAGTCAAGACCCCACTGTAACCCACAGTTTCCTGGATCTGGACAGAATGGAAAACCACAATTGATATGAAAGTGAAGCTTTGGATCACCTTCTCCTACGGAGGAGGGCTACTAAAGACTAAGGTTCATTCTTGTAAATCATCCAAGTCTGAATTTTATTCCTCAGTTGGAACATATAAATCAAGAAGGACTGGCACACAGCTTTTCCTTCCTGTTCCTGCTTGAAAGTAATCTTTTAGATAGCAATACCATGGCAACAATGAGCATGGAACCACCACCACCCCTCTTATGCGTCCATTTATCTCCTGCCCTTCCCTTGCTCACCACCACCCCTCTTATGCGTCCATTTATTTCTCACCCTTCCCTTTGCCGGGACTTACATATCTTAACCTAGCTGTCACTCAGAATGTTCACATTTATTCGGAAAGAGTACAGTGCTGATCAAATGATGTCGAAACTGTGGTCCTTTGGGAAAATCAAGGAATCAAACTGATTTCAACTGCCTTGTTTAAATCAAATCAAAGACGTTTGTCTTTTTCATGCCACTTGTTGAAGTCACTTCCCTCAGGCCCTTGCTGGAATAGCTCAGTGGTTTAAGGCAGTGGTCCCCAACCTTGGGCCTCCAGATGTTCTTGGACTTCAACTCCCAGAAATCCTGGCCAGCAGAGGTGGTAGTAAAGGGTTCTGGGAGTTCTAGTCCAAGAACATCTGGAGGCCCAAGGTTGAGAGGGTGAAATGTTGGGGAAAGGGGCTAAGCGCCATGGGTGCTGCCCTAGGCTTACTGGAGAAAGATAGACCACAAAAGTAACATATATAACCTAAATAATAGAGTAGGACCAACACACCAACACCTGTAGTATGTTAGAGACCAAATGGTGCGGAGAGGAGAAAAAGTGAAGATGGAGGGCCAAATTCTATGTGATAAATGGGGATAAGTGCGGGTGTGTGTGTGCCTTTTGCATGTTGTCTTAGATTTCCCCCAAATATTTTGACTACAGGCCTGCATAACTCATGCATATTTGGAAACTTCACAGGGCAGATAAAACCTAGCCAAAAATGTGGGGGGAAGACCTATCAGCAGAGCTGGTAATGGGTGTCAGATTTTAAAAAGTCAGCTTGAGGTCAGTTTTCTAGAATTACATCTCACTCCAAGTCTTTGGCATGTCCAGTAAAGGATAGAGTCTGGCCCCACAAGTCTTGCGTGTGACCTTGACTGATGTGGGAATTGATCGTGTTCTCTTTGTTCAGTTGTTCAGTCCTGGGGGGAGGGAGGAGCGGTGGCCCTGACATCACACTGGCCATCCAGTGGCGACAGAGGCCCCAGTTTCTCCATTCGGAGATGAATTCTTCCCTTGCTCTTTCCTGCCACCCTTAAATCCGAGAGCAACACCATAAAAATGACAGCTTTACAATTAAAAGTGGAACAGCCTTGAGAAGTAAAGGACACTTTGTTATCTTCCAGCAATGTTTTGTTTTGCGGCTCCATGGCTTGCAGAAACAGCTTGTTATTTATTTGTTTGTTTGTTTGTTTGTTTATATGAAATAAACAGCAGGCTTCAGTAACTGAGCAAATGTGGTAGTTTGAAGAAGGTTCCCTGGAATGGTGATGTTTTATCACCTTCAAATTGTGAAGTTACCAGCTTTTCTGATTCTGCTCTGAAGCCAGCATGGGGTAGATCAGGCATTGGGCAGCCTTTGGGTCTTAGCCTTTCATGACTCTTAACAGCCACACCCCAACCCAGCAGCTGGAGGGCCCCAAGCCAGCCTTTGGGCTTCTCCTGTTTACTTGGTCTTTCTCTTAAGCAGGACATAGAGATCCATCAAATGAAGCCCATTAGCAAAGATGTGCCTTTAGAGAGTCTTTCGAATCCAGAACCAAGAATTTGCATTGAGTAAGGGAATGAAACAGAGCGCAGTGCCCTTCCATACAAAACAAACAAACAAACAAACAAACAAACAAACAAACACGCACGCACGCACACACACACACACACACACACACACACACACACACACACAAAAGCAAAAAATAGAAGTCGGAATAAATTCCTTGTTGCTCCTTGTTTTCTCCACTGCAGCAGTAGAATTTAGGGCAGAAGAAAAAAATCAATGTGTCGATCCTGGTTGCTAAAAATTAGAAGTCACAAATTGTTGCAGATCTCCTTGAGATCTACCAGTAGGTTCATATTTCTGTCCACTCATGGCGTAGAGGACCTTTTGGGGCAGAGGTTGGGATGATTTCTTCTTCGGACTGCCAGCCCCAGAATCCTGCAGCCCAGAGGTTGCCTGGGGCTGGCTAGGGGACTCTGGCATTTGTAGTCCAAAACAGGCAAACAAACAATTTCTGAGCTCTGGTTTAATTTTCTCCCCTTTCCTCTCTCTCTTACGCCTTCCTCCTCCAACGAAAGCCGATTTGATTTCACTGGGAGGCAAGGACCTATCCTTGGGCAACTATACCCCAACCTGGCGGCTTCAAAGGAAACTGGCCCACCTTGCCTTCCAGCACTCCTTGCGGGGAGATATGGAGCGAAACGTGCAGAACTACGCCCAGCGCCTCTGCAAGGTAATGCTTCTGCTTCGTTTTGCCTGACTTTGGGCACCTCATGAAAAAAGCAGGATTCTTTGGAAAAAGGCCACCACGCTGGGAAAGGTAGGAAGCAACAGGAAAGGAGGAGAAGATCAAACAGGAGATGGACTGGCTCCCTAAAGGAAGCCACAGGTTGGAGAGCTGGGCAGGGTTGCTGGGGAGAGGACATTTTGGAGATAACTCGTTCGTGGGGTCGCCACAAGTCAGAAGCGACTTGATAGCACATAATAACTTAGTTTTTGTAGCTTGTGGTCCAAATTCTGACGTGCATGTGGGAAGCATAAAGTGGAAACAGAATGATTTCCTAAAGAACATTCCAACTGTTCAGGTGAAAATGGCTTCCATTTCCTTTTTTGGCGATCTTTTCCTTTTGTCCTCTTGCCTGTGAAAACTAGAGAGCAAAAGGTTTTTTTTTAATGGTACCTGGTTCCATCTAGTGGTCAGTTCTAGTAAATACATCTTGAAAATAAGCATTACTAGTTTTTTTTTCAATATTTTTAATATATTTAATATATTTAGACTGTGAATAAGTGAAATCGTGGATACCGATCCCTTCGATACGGGGGGGGGTGTTTCCTACTGTATTTAAATTGAGCTTTATCTTAGGAACTAGAACTCTTACTGTAAGAGAAAGATGAGTTCTGTACCCAATTCCTACACTTGCCCAGACTGATCATGCAATAAGATTTATCCTTGCGTCCCTTAGGGCCTCTCTGAAGCTATTCCATTTTATGGGCCATTTGATCTCCCAACAGGTTTTTCGCGATTATGGTGGGAAATCCGTGGATGTGGCTCATGACTTTTCCCTGCATACTTGTTGTGTCATTTCCTCCATCGTGTTTGGACCTTTGGTGAGTTGGCAAGGTGGGACCCATAGATGATGAGCCATGCGGCTTTTCTTCTCCTACACCTCCCGTTCCTTTTAAATAACTTTTTTTTTGTACAGCCAGAGCTTTCTCCCCCTTTCTCCAGACTGACGGTTCTCTTTCCCTTCGGCAGGACATTGCCGTTGTTGAAGAAATGCACAACTGTATGATCGAGCTAGTTGAAACGTGGGGCGCGGTCCCAGTCAAACTTCTGGACTTTCTCCCCATCCTCAAGGTACGGAGAAGATAATGAGTTTATTGGCTTGGTCGTCCACAGAGCAACCACCTTCTGCTAGGGCTTGACAGCAACCTCTCAAGTGGCAAAACCACTTCTCATGGGACCTTCTACCCCCTTGAACCCATTGGAAATACATTCGCTGCCAGAAATTGATGGCCATTGTGATTAGCTCTCTAGGCTACAGGAGGGCTCTAGTGCGTTCTTCCACATGTCAGAACCTGGTGAGACCACAAAGCAGAAGGTCCCACAGGACATCTGGAGTAGAGATGGGCACAAACCATCCATTTAGTGTTTCGTGCTGGTTCGTTGATGAGCAGCCACAGAACATTGACAGAGGGCACAGCTAAGGTGAGGGACATAGAAAGTTAGGCACCACCCGTTTAGTGGTTCGTGCCGGTTCGTTGATGAGCAGCCACAGAACATTGACAGAGAGCATAGCTAAAGGTGAGGGACATAGAAAGTCAGGCTGGTGCAGAGCCTGGAAAAGTTAGTTTTTTGGACTGCAACTCCCAGAATTCACTTGCCCAGGATAGCCACCATTGGCAAGTAATTCTGGGAAATGTAGTGTTGAGAAGCACCTTTTCCAAATTGTGATCTAGTCAAGAAGAAATACCAAAGTTAGGCTGGTGCAGAGCCTGGAAAAGTTAGTTTTTCGGACTGCAACTCCCAGAATTCACTTCCCACCGTTGGCAAGTAATCTGGGAAATGTAGTGCTGAGAAGCACCTTTTCCAAACTGTGATCTAGTGGGCAAGAAATATTGTGCCAGAGGGATGAAATGGGGCAATGGTTTCCAACTGAGGACTACACAGGGTCCAGGAATCTGGTGCAGAGCCTGGAAAAGTTAGTTTTTCGGACTGCAACTCCCAGAATTCACTTCCCACCGTTGGCAAGTAATCTGGGAAATGTAGTGCTGAGAAGCACCTTTTCCAAACTGTGATCTAGTGGGCAAGAAATATTGTGCCAGAGGGATGAAATGGGGCAATGGTTTCCAACTGAGGACTACACAGGGTCCAGGAATCTTGCGATGAGGGGGGGAAGCCATCATCGCAAAGTGATTTTTCCCTATAGGGAACATTGCAATGCGATCGCTTTTGCGATCGCAAAATCTTCATTGCTAAGCGGTTTCGTCGTTAAACGGGGCGCCCATTAAGCGAGGCACCACTGTATTGTGCCAGAGGCATGAAATGTGGCAATGGTTTCCAACTGATGACTACACAGGGTCCAGGAATGAGGAGGCAGGCTCTTCTGACCTACAAAGATTCAAGAAAACTATAAAATTCTGGGACCCACAATCTCTCTCCTAGATCTTCCCCAACCCCACCTTTCGGCATCTGCTTTCCTGTGTCAAGAGCCGGGACGCCTTTGTCCAAAGCCAGATGAAAAAACACCAGGTGAGAACAGGAGTCAACTGGGTACACTGGATTGGGATTTTCTGATGGGAAAACCGGGGTGGGGATCTTCCAGTGGCCTAGAAGCAAAATCGCTAAAGTGTGATGTTCCTGCAACCTCTGCCAGACTTAGTCGTAAATTTCTTAATGTTTTACGCAATGGATAGGGAAAATTATGGCTGAGTTTGTAGAACTTGGGGATGCTACATTTTTTGGGGGAACTACAACTCCAAGAACTGGTGTGGCCATTATCTTCATCATCATTATCAATACCCTCTTAGAACTGCAGAGGGGGAAGGGGCCCTATGGATCATCAAGTGCAGCCCTTGTTCCCGGGACATTCTGGGAATCAGGGAAGAAAAGGTAATATTTCCCATCTCAAAATATTAGACTAGATATGTTTGCCATGTGGTGCTGGAGGAGAGATAGCAGATGCCTTGGGCTTGCCAGAAAGATGAACAAGTGGGTCCTAAATGAAATGAAGCCTGAACTATCTCTGGAAGCAAAAATGTTGAAACTGAGGCTGTCCTACTCCGAGCACATCATGAGAAGGCAGGTTTCTCTGGAAGAGACAATCATGCTGGGAAAGTTGGAAGACAGTAGGAAAAGAGGAAGACCAAATACGAGGTGGACTGACTCCCTAAAGGAAGTCACAAGCTTCAGTTTAGAAGAGCTGAGCCGGGCAGTTGAGAACAGGAACTTTCGGAGATTGCTCATTCATAGGGTTGCCATGCATCGGGAGTGACTTGAAGGCGTTTAACAACAAGAACAAGTTGCTAGACTCCCACTCCCATCATTTCCACAGCTGGGGATGATGGAGGTTGTAGGCAGCAATATCTCCTAATAGGGGCCTTGGTGGCCTGAGATTCCCAAGCGATTGACAACTTCCAGAGAGAGAGAGACATGAGCTGAGCATTAGAGTTGTGCGGGTCGGAGAGGGGACTGTACCATTTGTGTGTGTGTGTGTGTCTGTCTGTCTGTCTTTCGGCCATCATTGCCCAAGCAAAGTTCCAGATTGGGGAGTGTGTGTGCGTGTGAGTCTGTGTGTGTGTGTGTGTGTGTGTGTGTCTGTGTGTGTGTCTTTCGGCCATCATTGCCCAAGCAAAGTTCCAGATTGGGGAGTGTGTGTGCGTGTGAGTCTGTGTGTGTGTGTGTGTGTGTGTGTGTCTGTGTGTGTGTCTTTCGGCCATCATTGCCCAAGCAAAGTTCCAGATTGGTCAAGGATCTTTCCATCACCCCTTCCTGTTCTTTAGGGCCCGTAGCCAACCTGGATAGATGAGCTGTTATCACAGGACCCAGAAACCCCTTTGCGGATCAGAGCCCTTGGCGGCTCATCGTGCAAGAGAACAGCCAATGCAGAGACATGGGTTCTCTGAATTCAAGCCCGGGTACCTTCTTACTCTGTTGTTTAATAAACAGAAAAATATGAAGTGGGGATGGGATGGGAGGCAAATTGTATGGGTCCCCATTTGTTGCACACAATTGAGCGAGTGAATCATAGAATCACAGAATAATGGAGTTGGTAGGGGCCTATAAAGACATCAGATCCAACCCCCTGTTCGAGGCAGGAATCATAGAATCACAGAATAATGGAGTTGGACGGGGCCTATCAGGGCATCAGATCCAACCCCCTGTTCGAGGCAGGAATCCAAATCAAAGCAGATCTGACAGATGGTGGCCCAATTTTTTTCTTAAATGCCTTCAACGTTAGAGCACTCATCATCTCCTGGTGGCCCAATTTTTCTTGAATGCCTCCAACGTTAGAGCACACTCATCATCTCCTGAGATCATTGGTTACACTGTCCTACTTCTCTAACAGTTAAGAATTTTTTTTCCTGATATTCAGCCGAAATCTGGCTTCTTGTCACTCAGGCCCATTATTGCATGTCCCACA